GTGGGATCTTTGAGGATGGAGGCAGCCTTCCTACGCACCCTGCGGTGGTAAATGCTCTGCAGAGAGGGCAGTGGAGTCCTGGTGATCTTCTCCGCAGTCTTTACCACTCTCTTCAGGTGCTTGCAGTCCATAGCAGTAGTGCCGCCGTACCACACACTGTTGCAGCTAGTCGAGATGCTCTCAATGATGCAGCTGTAGATGTTGCTGAGGATCCTAGGCGACAAAACTCCTCAGCCTCCTCAGGAAGTACAGCTGCTGTTGGGCCTTCTTGACCAGCTGTGTGGTGTTAAGTGTCCAAGTGAGGTCCTCACTGATGTGGACGCCCAGGTATTTGAAGCTGCTCACCCTCTCCACCTCGAGCCCCCGGATGAACAGTGGCCGATGAGATCTCCTCTTCTTCCTCATGTCCACTATCATCTCCTTTGTCTTGTCCATGTTGAGGCTGAGATTATTGTCCTTGCACCATGACACCAGACCAGCTACCTCCCTCCTGTAGGCTGCTTTGTCCCCGCCAGTGATGCGACCTATCACTGCGGTGTCGTCCGCGACCTTACACATACACTTCAATACACACACTTCTGAAACCTGAACATAAATATTACTGTTGAAAAGTATGTATAAAATGGGTACAAACTTTATTTATATACAGTATTAAAATAATGCCCAACATAACAAACAGATTCATTCATTGAGCCTTAATTGTCCTTTGTCAAGACACACCACAATCCTGACAGCAGTAATTAAAGGGGACTGCTGTGTAATGATGACAGCTGATAGGTTACTCTCATCTTTAGCCATCTCTTGAATAACAGTTGTATTGAATCTGGTGAGTCCTTCTGCTGGCTTTGCAATGTGGCTGATGACTTGACATGAGACATTTCAATTGTGTCAGGCTTTAGGCTTCCAGGGGGAAGCGGAAGGTCTTGTTTCCAGTCCTGCAGCGCAGCTCTGTGCAATCCAGTCTCAGCAGAAACGGTCCTCCTTCATGTTCATCAATCATACGCTTAAAATAATCAGACATGAACAGTGATTAGTGATTTCTGTACAAACCCCTCAGGCAAAACAGTTGCAGCTGAGTCTGATCTGTCATCTGCACCAAGAAGTGTTCAGCACAGTACACATGGAAAAATCATGTACTGCTGTATGATTTTGGGAATGCTTGGTTGCAGTTACAGAATTATAACCAAGATGCATAATGATTAGGATATTTCACACTTGGAACAACAAACTTTGTAACATGAAAAATAAACTGTGAATAAACTTGTTGGTATATTGGCCAGCCAGTCAATCAAAGGTGTCTCAGTACCTGCAGCTCCTCAGTGCACTCCTGCATCTGCGCTGTCAGGTCTCCAACACACCAAGCCAGACTTATGTGGAAAGATGGCTCCTGGAGGATGTGTGAAGACATGAGTATTGTGAAGTAAGACATGAACATGCACTGCACCAGATGCTTTTGGATGAGACTCACTAATGATTTTACAATAATTAATTGTCTGATAATTCTTTCTACAAGAAATCATACTGAACACTGTGCTTGGTATTTTACTGTACAAACATCTGTCTTATTAGCTTACATCAAAATTTAAATGCAAGGGTTCCTACAACACCACAGAACAACTCATTAACTAACTGAAGCTTTGCAGATTCACTCTATTTAAACAGGTAAAAATACTTCCAATACCAGGAGACTAACACTCATGGTTGACAGTGGCAAACTAGTTTAGCTACAGAGTTCAAATGGTAGAATCCACTTGTTGAGCAGTGACCTTGTAGAAAGTGTCCAGCTGAAACTCGGTCATGGATCTGTCCACAACTCGGACCAGGTCCAACAACTGAACATGCCCGCTACACACTTCCATGCCCAAAAATGTCCTGCAGGGGGCAGACACATGTAAATATGTCTAAAGTCAACAGTCTTATGGTAACAGTAACAACTGAATGCTACACTATGAATTTTCAGTTTAACAGGCCCTTGGCAGCTGAGTGATTCATGTATTTGGACTATGAGGAAGAAGCAAAACGCGTTGACTGTACCTTGTCCTCTCAGCATTGCAGTATACTCTCAGTTTCCCAGCTGAGCAAACAAATCTGGAAACACAAGACACAGTTTTCCTAGATATTCCAGACCTGTCTAGAAGTTAAACAACCACATTTCCTGCCCATCATCCTATTTATTTTAAAAATAACACATCTTTACATGTATGCAAGTTGGGAGAAGAATAACAAGAACCTTTTGCAGTGTGCCAGGCCTGTCCTGAGGCTCTGTGTAAAGGGCTGTATCCAGTGGTGTCTCAGCACCACAGTCTGAGACAGGCTGAGATGAAACTCCTCCTGCGGGGTCAAAACCACGCCACAGGTTCCTGCAGCTGAGAGCAGCTCCGCAAGCAACTCCCCAAACTCCTCCTGAGGATGGTCTGATGTGGAGAGGAGACAGAGAAAATCCAGATGTGTAAGGATGAAACTTTGGATGATGATCAATCATCAACAATCCTGTGTGTAAGTCTTACATGGCACATAAACATAGGTGGCCCAGTTTCCTCTCTCATGTTTGAAGGAACGGACACGGCCACCATGAAGGGAGCCGTCTTCAGTCTGTGGGTCCACTTCGTCTGGAAACAAGGCCAATAGGCAATCAGGGAGAGGTAGCCTGCAGGAGCATGTACACCACCACAATTAAGAAATCAACATCAAACTGATGACCTCTTAAATACCGATAACACCAATGAATTTACTTTACCTAATAAAAACTAAACAACTCTGAAGTGTTCTGGAATTGTTAAAAAGGTCATGTAAGACAGTGGGCAAGTAACAAGCCTTCTGCCATCTCCCACCTCCCTCCTGAGACTAGGTCGGACAGCACAGAGCTATGGATGAACCAAGGTCAACTGAACACATCAGAACCAGCTCTTGGACTACGTCGGCATTGCTGTTCACATACATTGGCCTATAAACACCGATCACTGCAGCCCCACTCATTCCGAACAACGCTACCTCACATCCCTAACGTTACACACCTGGTTTTGGGAGCCTGCTCCTCAGTTTTTATTTTTTTCCTCGCTGGGCAGCCATTGTTACCATCATCTTCCTCCTGACACTTTGGACAACAGTTCTTCTTTTGAGTCGCCGCTGCAGCTTCACCACTTGCCCCACCGTCCTCCTCCGAGCTGCTGCTGCTGTAGCCAACCAACATCCTACACTAAATGATGTGCCAAGAAATATCCCAAACTCATTATATACATAAAATATCTAAATAACTCAGAGGAATTGGTGTAATTATTTAAACTACAGGGGAGAGTAAAATGCCTACTAGTCTTGTAAAGGAACTTTCTAGCGGCTTCAAACGATTAGCCGGTGCCTCTCCCACACAGTCCAGCACTTTCAGTGTAAACAACCTGTTGTAACAATAATTTAGGTTCCAGTGAAACGCCGCCCCTACCGCTAAGTAGTTCCCCTCTCAGAGGTTTGCTGTAATACCGTATGTCACGTTACAGAACATAGGGGAGGTAATTCTACAGATTTGTACGTATTACCGTGTCTAAATTTGTCAAAATTTATTTAAGCCATGCTAGTACTTAAATGATGTCACCGTTTCATCTGAAACTGGATATAAGGTATTATTATTTGTAGTTACAGATTTGACTTATAAACAGCCACAGATGATACGTTTACATTAAAGCAATCACACACACCATGTAAAGGGGTGTGTGTGTATTCAGAGCATGCCAATTAACTATTGGTTTATTCATGTTCCCGTGCGCGGGCATGGGCTCAGAAGCTAGCCAATAGCTAGCTAGCAATTTATAGCAAAATGCCTATTTTTTTCGTTAGCTGAGAAGATGCTATGGGAGTAAGATAAATGTATTCATGAAAGGACTGCGTTTGTGGGGCGAGTTTCCGCTCATTTTAATGACCCGTAAACCCTTTTTCGGCCCCTAAAGCCACAGCGCTCGAACAAGAGAGCATCCGAGCACCATTTGCGGATGTAACTAACCTACGATAGACGGGCATTATATCGGGAACACGAAGTGGTTTGACTGGACGTACCAGGTATGTAAATGCAGGTTTTCTCATTGTTGTTTACATGCACTGCTCAGAAGCAAACGTGTGGCTGCTGTCTGGCTGTTATTTTCCGGTGGCTAGCCCGCTAATGTTGACACTAGTAGCTTTTTCCTGCGCATCTGTGGCTGCGTTAGCAAGTGGCTAGGATAGCTAGCTAACCCATCCTGGTTGCAGTGATCTTTGCCTGGAGACGAAGACGTTATGATGCGCAGACGCTGCCTTCCACTTTTTACCGCGAATCGTTGACCATTCCGGCGCATCTGTGGCTGCGTTACCAAGGGGCTAGTATAGCTAGCTAACCCATCCTGGTTGCAGTGATCTTTGCCTGGAGACGAAGACGTTATGATGCGCAGACGCTGCCTTCCACTTTTTACCGCGAATCGTTGACCATTCTGCATAGACACAGAGAACTACAAAAACTAATAAAGGTTAAATATATGATTTAACGTTCGTCGTTTGTGTCCGGTTATATACTGTATGTTAATGAGAGCTCACATGGTGTGTTTTGTATTCACATCTTTAAATAGCCAGTTGTTTATAATTACTGTTTATTGTATTAGGATGCTTTAGACGGCGTCAACGGCACAAATCATTTTAGGATTATTCAGATCCATATTTACATAGTTTTGTGTCTTTTGAATAGTGAGTTAATAGGTACGACTGATGTCAACACGCTGTCATCTACACATCTCTGTGACAGTTGCTCTTTGAGTAGGAATGAAAAATCAGCTCTGATACTTTGTTGGGGCTGTCTGCATAATCTGGCCCCCGGTTGGTGTAGATCTAATATTGCAACTTGTCTTATAGTATTTCTAATCCATATTTTAATGGCTGTGTTAACCCTATTGGCTGCTGAAGCTGGGTGTAGCACAGGTTGCAAAGCAAATTAGCATTTTTAAAAGCAAATTTGTGAAGCCTATAGCTGCACAAACATTCTTTTTTTTATTTAGCCAGGATATACTGTCTGATCAGTGGATGCTGGAGATGTAACAATGTCTGAGTCCATAGTTTAATTTCAAAGACACTTGTTATTGAATGGCTTATTTCTGCACATTGATATTTTGACTCACGTTGATTCTCTTTTTAATAGAGATAACACCTGAAGGTCAAGAATAAAGTGCAATTGGAGGATTTTCTTAGATCTCTCCACACAAGTCTGACCTTCACCTAGTTGTTCTCATCTGTACATCGCTGTTCCTGCCATCAAATTGTCTGTCACAGCCCTTTTGCAAAGCACCCTTTCCAGCTTCAGTGCTACTTGCTGAAATGGAGTGAGTTGGGTTTTTTGTTGTGTTTTCTTAACACTTTTTGTATAGTTTAATTGATTATTTAAGTATGTGCCAATCTTGTTTTTTGTTCCTTATACTGCAGTTGGGCCACACCAGCTGCCAAATTGAATCCTTACTCTCGAGCTCGAATGACAGAGGCCTGGCAGCAGCATGCTGTCGCTCCACCTCCGGTTGTCCATACCATCCCTTCAGGAGCTGAGAATGCACTGGGCTGTGCTGTGTATGGCATTGTACTGCAGCAAGATGCTACGTCTGTGCAGCAGCAGCAGCAGCAACAAACCCAGCATGGACAGCACGGCCAGCAACACAGCAGGGGTCAGCAGCATGGAGGTGTTCAGCACAGTCAGCAACAGCACCCCACACAGGCCCAGCAGACTTCCCTACAAGTAGGGTCAGAGGGAGGACATAAGTGTGGGGCCTGTGGACACGATATCTCTCACCTGGCTAACCCACATGAGCACCAGTGCATGGTGAGTCAGGACAGGTCATTCCAGTGCACCCAGTGCATGAAGATCTTCCACCAGGCGACAGACTTGTTAGAACACCAGTGTGTTCAGGTGGAGCAGAAGCCCTTTGTGTGTGGAGTGTGTAAGATGGGCTTCTCACTTCTCACTTCTCTAGCTCAGCACCACACATCACATAACAGCACCAATCCAATGAAATGTTCAATATGTGAAAAGACCTACAGACCGGGTTCTTCTGGCAGCACCACACCAAACTCCAACAACCCCCAGCTGCCCAGCAGCGATGGGGCATCAGCCAGCAGCAGCTCATCCATCATACCTTTTCCCTCGGCCCGAGACCGGCCATACAAGTGCTCGGTTTGCCAGAAGGGCTTCAAGCACCTCTCAGAACTCACACGGCATGAGAGGGTGCACACAGGAGAGAAGCCCTTCAAATGTGACACATGTGACAAAGCCTTTAGCCAGTCGTCACACCTACAGCACCATCAGCGAACACACAGCAACGAACGCCCATTCAAGTGCGCTGTTTGTGAAAAGAGTTTTAAGCACCGCTCCCACCTCGTGCGCCACATGTACGTGCACTCTGGTGAGCACTTGTTCAAATGCAACTTATGTGAGCTGCACTTCAAAGAGTCGTCAGAGCTCCTCCACCACCCTTGCCACCCACAGGGTTCCCGCCCCTTTCGCTGTGCCACATGCGGTAAGGGTTTCAAGCGGCCGTCCGACCTTCGGCAGCACGAGCGCACGCACTCTGAGGAGCGTCCCTTCCACTGTGACGAGTGTCAGATGAGTTTCAAGCAGCAATATGCATTGGTGCGTCATAGACGCACTCACAAAGACCCTACTGATCGACCGTTCAAATGCAGTCTGTGTGACAAGGGTTTCATGCAGCCCTCTCACCTCCTCTACCACCAGCACGTCCACGGCATGGACAATTTGTTCAAGTGCGCCTCATGCCAGAAGGAATTCAGCCAGTCAGGAGAGCTGCTCAGACACAAGTGCGGCGAGTCATCCAGCACATCACCTGACAAGCCATACAAGTGTGACGTTTGTGGCAAGGGCTACAAGAAGAGTTCCACGTTGCAGCGTCATCAAAATTCTCACTGCCAAGAGAAGCCCCTTAAGTGCTCGCTCTGCGACCGCCGCTTCCTGTCCTCATCAGAATTCGTGCAGCACCGTTGTGACCCATCACGGGAAAAGCCACTGAAGTGCCCTGATTGTGAGAAACGTTTCAAATATTCATCAGACCTGAACCGACACAGGCGCGTACATACAGGGGAGAAACCATACAAATGTGACCACTGCAACAAGGGCTTCAAACAGCGTGAGCACTTAACCAAACACCAGAGCACACACTCCAGAGAAGGCCAGAAGTGTGTTTGGTGTGGGGAACGTTTCAGTGACTTGGGCTCCTTGCAGGATCACACGGTTCAG